GTACTTTAAAGCATATAAATAAGTTACCCGGGCAATTGATTTACATTAGCCAATCAGACGAACTTCTGTCTATGATAGCCCACGTACGTACGTACTTTGTACTCCGTTCCTGATATATGATCGCCACTGTAGTTAGCTACTTTAACATTTGCGCACTAAAGTTGCATTCTTTCATTCTCTCATCCTTTACTTCGTTATATAAATGGCAATTGAATTTTTTAAACAACTTTCTAGTGATTTAACTAATCTTCTTGAAAATGGTGATGAATATAATGTAATAATTGAAGTTGGCCAAATGCCAAATCGTCAAATATTTAAGGCGCATTCAATTATTCTGAGTTCTCGATGTTTTTATCTTCGTGAAGAATTGAATAAAGCAAGTTACAATGAAAATAATATTAAAAAAATTAGTCAACCGCATATTCTCGTTATTATCTTTGAAACTATTATCAAGTAAACTATATTGATATTGTTATAAAATACATTTAATATCATAATCATTAAATACTATTTTAAGTGTTTTTTTTTCTTAAATTATTTAGATATATTTATGGTGGTATAGTTCTATTCGATAAATTCGATGCCCCTACAACCCTTAATCTTTTAGTTACTGCTAAGGAATTTGGTCTCGAAGAATTAGTTAATAATACACAAACTCAACTAGTTACGAATCATGCATCGTGGATACGTTTGAATTTTACTAAAGTTTATAATATAAGTTCGAATAGTGATGATTTTAAAGTTTTACAACAATTCTGTAATGATATTATCGCTAAACATCCAAATATTATTTTCGACTCTAATGATTTTGTGAATCTTTCTGAAGATGCCTTGGTATCCCTTCTGAAACTTGACAACTTAAAAATGGGTGAAGTAAAAATTTGGGATAAAGTTATTAGTTGGGGAATTGCTCAAAACCCTGATCTAGATTCTAATCCTGCACAATGGTCTGATAAGAATTTTTTAGCTTTAAAATCTACACTTAAAAATTGTCTCCCTCATATCCGGTATTTTCAAATTACTGCTGAAGACGTTGTGGATAAGTTATATCCATATCAGCAAATCCTTGAACCTAATTTGTGGAAAGATATTATGATGAAATTGACCGTTCCAAGTAGGGCTATTACTTCGACTATTTTACCTCCTCGCGTAATCTCAGGCACTATATTGCCACCAAGAAATACTACAAATTCAAGTAGTAATACCACTACATCTTCAAATGATAACAATATCCCTAATACACCTTCAAGTAGAAACAATTCTGCTACAACTTCAAGTGGTAATATGCTGTAAATTTATTTTTATAGTTCACAATGATTCAGTTAAACATTGAATTTTCTTATATATTTTTTTAGGTCGTAAGTTCTTAAATAATGATTTTTAAATCAATTTTTTACTGCTTATTTATTGGTTGAGTTACTATATATGCTTTATTAATTTGATTCGTAATTACAGCTTGTAAGTTAAATAAAATATATATAAATTTTCCTTACTATTTAAGTGTTTGAGTTGTTTACATGTGTTTACTAATTCTTATTGATTTAAAATTTTGATAGCATCAGAAGTTACAAATGCAACAGTCTTTGATTTATATTGGGGATATCCAAGAACGGGAAGAGACTACCTTGATGGAACTTGTTTAATATATACTGGAATGACACTTTGGAGATTGTATGATTATGGATCAAGAATTCATCCTAATATAAATTATATCAAACACTCAGGTGATATAATGGATGATATTAATCAACGAGGTCAGCAGTAAATATGAATTAAATTAAGATTATTACAATCGTTTGTAGTTATTTATACAATTTTAAGTAGGTCACCATCGGATTACCGTAAAACTAGATCAACTCCCAAAAGAAGTTACTAGACTATATTTTATTTTAAGCGCTCGGAACTGTCCAAACATTGGTCATTTCATCAGTCCGAGCATCCAAATATATGATGAAACCTCACCGCAAGTTCAATTGTGCAATTATTCACTTCAAACTACCGCAAACTCTCAAGCAGTAATAATGTGTTTAGTTGCAAGATCATTTGAAGGCTCATGGGAGATTATACCTGTTGGCCGTTTATCTAGCGGAAATGCTGGAAATTATAATCCCATTAAAACAACAATTCTAGATTTAGAAAACAATATTAAGTAAAATTCGCCAAGGGACGTTGTGTATTTAGCAATAAATAACTAGTATTCGTAATATATGCTTTACCTTATTGTCTGGAGCGTAGCGGAGGACTTACATTTTCGGGAATACATATGGCACGTGATCATCACATACTAGAGGGACTACCCCAGTAGCAAAACCTACATTTTTGATACTCCTGCACCTACTTTTTTGATACACCTAAACATACCCTAAAATTTATATACTTT